TCAACTGAGGCCTCATCTCTGTTTGCAGATGAAGTAGACAGTTTTGGACTCCATACCTTTTTATTTAAAGAATTCCATTATAGTCATTTTCATTATAGCCATTGTTTCTCTTTTAACCTTGCTTTTACTTGCAAAGTAGACGATCAAGTAGTATACTTCCCTTCAAGAGACATTTCACACGGTGATAAATACTGTTTTTCTTATTGCTTATATTACACCTTTTCTATATCTAGAATCAGCCTCTTTATAATCCCTTGTAATATCATGTAATGATGATGCAATATGAAATTATTATTGAATACTCAACCTGTTACTGCTTATCAGTATAGTTAGATTCACTTCAAAGGATAAATGTTTTAAACGTCAACAAGTCCAATTAACCATTTCAGTCATTCATTTCAGGTTAGTATTCACCATCGACTGATATCAATTGGAGAAACACTGAATGCCTGGGAGCACTAGATAGGTGTTTCACCACAGTATGGGACTTCCCTGTAATCCGCAAGGGGTCGAATCCAGGACCTTCGTGTTTTGCAACCTGCAGGTTACGATTGAGGCACTGGGTCGGAATCCAATGTTCCATATTTCCAGCTTCTGTCAGCGTGACCACCATTCTAAGCCGTTCTTAACTAACTGTTCTCATGTTCGACTTGGTTGGCATTACCAGTTATTGTAAGAGTGGTTTTTAGAGTCACTCCACAATTGTATAGCTCTCATTTATAACATCATCAGAAGAAATCTTTTCTTATCAACTTTGCTTTCGCATTCTGTTTTCTGTATAGCTACAAAAAGAAAGATGTGGTTGTGAATTGTAAATGAATTCAGTGTCTTATTGTTGTATCCGTACCTCCAGAAAAAATCAGAGCAACAACCACTCAATTACGATTTTCCCTCACTTGTCTATTTTGTTCTCATTCATTCATATTCTGTTTGGGCCACCTATGCTTTTAAGGCCTTGAACATTTTCTACATAACTTGCTATATACTAATCTAAATGGGCAATGTGTGTGCCAACAGTCTAACTTTGTCTTCTCTTTCGGTCAGCTAGTGTGACGTTAGCGGCAGTAGTACCAATTTGTATAAAGTGACTCGTGGAATGTTGCTAAGTAAGCACCAGCGTTGGGGATTTCCTTCAGTCCGTCTATTAGGGGCTCTCATAAGAAACCGAAGCCGAGATTAAAAACAAAACCGTTAAGACAGAGGTATAACAGTGAAGATAGTGTCAATTCAGGGATATAACAGCCATTGTAGAACAAAAAATAAACGTATTTGATGAAAATTGAGTCTATATCGAAATCATACTTTTTAGCCCATTTAGCACAGACTCCATACTAGATGAATAAACTGTTGGATACAATCGAGGTAGTAAATTTCGGTTTGACTTTGATAAAATCACTACCATATCCTGTAGGTGTTGCTTTGTTTGTTATTCATATCTTACCTATTCCAAAACAATAATAAATCACAGGAAGAATACACCGACCGGTTGACACTTAAAGTATTAATCCAGGCACCGATTAATAAAACATATACAGACATATTACTCAATCCTACAGACAAAGATTTCCAAAACTATTTTAAGTATCGTATTCTAGGTACTATATTCTTAAATATAAAACGTACACTAGGCACAACATGGGCAGAAGAGATGCACTACACAAAATAATATGCGATGACACTAGGAAGACATAAGTGATAAAAAAAGGAGGAAACGTAAATGATACAACAGTAGAATAGAGATCAGTTACTAAAAAAGCAGTCTCGAAAATGTATTCATTGCTTGCATTTTACTTTTCAATAATAGGACTGACAAGAAGACTGGAACATAATTGAAAATGGCTTCGACTTTAAGCCATGTCTACCGTCGCCTCCATACCACTGAATTGTATCATTTTTCGAACCTCATCGAGAGAATCTTCAGTTACCAAAAGACCGTGGCCCAGTACATCTGTCCTTCTTGGTAAGACACTATGTTAAATACTCGTAACCTCTCCTCTTATGCTAGTTAATCCTACGATTACCGATCGGAATTGTCTTATATCCTCAGCCCGAAGTTTTACAGGCTTAAGGTAGAACTGATCACATTGACACGTTGTCTACCTGACGTCTTACAGACAGGCTAACATCGCGACGGTGACAAAGATGAACCAGATTAGTGCTTGTCTCTCTGCCTTTCGATATACAGTTAGCTATCGCATCACTTACATCTCCGCTAGTACTCAAACAACTACGTAAGGGAAAACAGGACAGACTGATCGCCAAAGCAGATTGATATTGGCACTCATATCAACACCTTTTTCAGCTTCTATATACAGCTTTCAATGCAACTAAGTCATTACCAATAACCCCCTGAATAACAATTGTTAATATGCAGTCTAGTTTGAAAAATGAGACAGCGACAGGAGCGTATTACTAGATAGTGTATAATGGGGAAAGTTGGGGTCTTGGGAAGTATTGATAAGTACTAAATAATAAAGACGGAAGCTGACAAAATTAGCATTAGTATTAATGATGGGTAGTGGTTAGCAGTGAAACACACGACAGGCGTTTCGACCTATTTGGAGCTGGTTAGCTGGATGTAGCTACCTCCCAGTGAGTAGTGTTGTTGCCAATAAGATACGAAATGAAAATTCGGGAAATACCGAAGCATCTGTACAGCAGCCCACATACTAATAGTAGCCAATCAACGACGGAGATTTGCAAGCCATAACATTAAAATCGTCAGTGTTTTCAAAAGAGATGATCACAGATCTAAAATCGAAAATGTTGTAGAACAGCGGTAAGTTAGGGTTTTTTCCGTAGACGTCCTCTAAGTGGTTTCCTTCTCGTCATCTGACCCTATAGGGTTTGATCTTACCACAGAAAAATCCTTAGTAGATCTTAAGTACACGGGTTACATATTCCTGCTAAGTGATGACCCTGGCAAGATTTCTTAGACACCTTGATTGGCAATCTCAGATGTCTGGAATGCGTTACCCGCCACCCAAGTGTAAACTGTTGCTCTAGGACTGGTCTTTGCTGGTATCTTCTTCAACAATAGGTAGCAGATCGGTTGAGCACATCGACCACCTAACTTCTTTATGAGTTACAAATCCCTTACATCAATTCATACACACGCAACATCGTTTGTTAGTTAGACAGAACAATGTCTCATGCAGTTGTGTGCATAGATGGAAAGATTAGTAGTGATACAGCTCAAATGTTAAGCTAATGAAACGATGCTGGACACCATATTTTGCAGAACTACTCAGCTGTGAAAAATGTTGAAGTGGACTCTATGGGTTGAATCTATCCGGGTACATCCCTGACGAACTATTCCTCGATGTTTAGATTACTCTGATCTGGCTAGGGAAATCCATAGGTCAACGTGAACAGCTCCCAACTATTCATGTTATTCAGCTGCATGCTGGCCAAACAGAATGACTGACAAAATGAAAATGTTACACTTAATCTATCGACAAATGTGATTAGAATCCCAACTGATAGCCTGATCACGGGTAATATTTTTGCTCGATGACGACTGAGAACAAAAATTCATTTTCAAATTGCTTGTATTAAATTTTCGGGTGAAGTTAATTCACATATGTCTAGGCGGTGGAAACAATTAGTTCCAACGAATATTTTGTCGAAGTGTTGAGAGGTTGTTCAAGTCAGATCAACGATTTGATTCACACTTTGGTCTGTCCCCTTCACTTAACCCTATGACCACAATTTCTAAAAAATACACCTTGTTTAACGATGATGCTAACAGACAAAATCAACGTAGCACCTCCTACACAAGTGCATCAGCTCAAGTTACCACACTTCACAGTATTAGATGAAGAACAAGTGGATAAGAAAGGCTGATGTCAAAGTAGATCAAAGTGTATGAGAGAAAAAAGAACTTGGAAACCAAGGTTAGTCCAAACATTCAAGCTCCACAAGATGTCAAACAGCGAATACACATGAACCATTGTAACCAATTTCAGCAGTCACTAAGAGTTCTCAACCACTGATTCCTATTGTCTCATGGACCCCAACCAAGTAGTCTATATCTCCCAAAATGACTCAGATCAACAGCCAAAGACTTCATCGACTGGTTTCACTTCTTGGTCTGGACACCCTGAACCCACTTTCTAACTTCCCCTACCATTGCAAGTCGACGTAAGCGGTGGTTTGGACACGTACTGTACATGTTTAAGCCACCTCAGTTAACTAGGGTTCACAACCTCATTATTTGACTTGCCTGTTGTGCTCGCTCATATAATGTCACCAAGCTTCTGAATTGATTGTTCAGAATGATATAGTCACATTATTCAATGCACTCCAAAATATCAACAATATCATCCGATTCCTCAGCCGTGCACGATTCATCATCCATCCAGATCAATATAGGACTAGGCATTACTGTGTAACGGTCCGAGTTGCTACAGCTCATATCAGTACATATCAAGTAAAATGGCAGTGAAGCGGAAGATGAAGAAAAGAAAATCCAGTCAAAAGAAATACAAAGTACGAAAAGAGAGAATGGTGAGATTCGGTATAGCGTCGTTAAAATAAGGATTGTCCGTCTGATTATTACCTAGCCCATTCAAAATGATAAATTATGTTCAACCTATGCAAATTGAACATCTACTCCAAGCTATTCCATCTCTCTTTTATCTGTAGAAATTGCTCATTTCTGTAACTAAGCTATAAATGACATCGATTTGTTTTTCTGTATTGCCTCATGTCATATATAATCAGGTATGCAGAATGTGGAGTTGATGAGTTCCAATGAATATGAGAAATTCATTAAATCCCTATTTTAAAACTGATATAAATCAGAAAGTAATAACTGTTAATGATATATTGTACATAGAAGACTGACATAATTAAACGACAAACAATAAAGCAAAGAAAAAAACTACCATCTTAGAGAATTAAAGTATGCCACAATTCTGATAAGGATAAGTAAATCACAGTATGAGAAAAGAAAGCGAAAGATGTAGTATATATGCATACGTAGATATAAATTCATATCAATTTAATTGTCGACGACGAGCTTTTTGTTTATCGAAACGTGCTTCCATCTCTTCGAGAATACGTGGAGTATACCTCACTACCAGTTTTACAGTACCTAAATTATGAAGTATAGAAATGAAGGATAATAATACTGTATGAAAATGAAATATGAGAAAAACAAGCATCGATATTTCATCATTTCAACACTATTTTCACTGTTATAATAGAGTTTATGCATTCAAAGATTTACAAAGTTGATGATGCTAAATGGCTATGTTAGTTGAAGCGACTTACAGTTTTAGTCAAAGTCACAGTAACAGCGTATATAAAGTTTAACTACTCTCAGAGATAAATTTTGTCGGCTTAAGGATCTGATAGAACCAATTAAGCAACATAATATTATAATTTATCAAATTCCATGTAATGACTGTGAGGTCAAGTACATAGGTCAAACTAGCCAAAGAATATCACGTGATAGGAATATAAAAAGCAGATACCGAAATCACTGTGATTACATCGATATGATTATGACCAATAATTTGTGCTCAAAACGTCATCAAGTAAATAATACTGTAACATTCACTGTGTGCTGTAGATATTAAATAAACAAATCTAATATGGAATTACAATCTACCTTGTGGTTATCGAGAGTGTTCTCCGTAGGTCGAGATGTTAATGACTTAAACGATGACATATTTACTGCTCCGAGTGGATAAAGGATATATAACGAAAAAATAAACTTTCAGTTGCTTAGTAACCTTAAGCCTGTAAAATCGCCCGGTCCTGACAAAATTAAATGAGAACAAAGAGTTGACATCTCTGACGAACACCATTTGACGTATACTCGGTCTACATGACTGACTCACCGTAAGCTCTGATGCTCCCACAGGTGTTCAAGTACAGAGTATGCAACAGGGTGATGCTCATCACTGGACAACCATTTCAGTGGATGATATTGCCGTAAAATCTCTCGATAGACGAAGTCGAATGCCAGTATTGGGTGCCGGAGAGTGTACCTCTGTTTCAGAAAGTGAAGGAGGAGAGTTAATATCTGGCTGATACAACCACGACCAGGTCTGAAACCTGCATAGCTTTCTCCAGTTTCCTGTTCCCCAGCTCTGCTTGGACATCTGATGAAAGCTATAGAAGCTAAGATCTTAGGCACTGTTTGTCAAACTGATTCCTCTGTGATTATCACAAGAGGATTTTTCGCTTTTATCTCAGATTGATACGATCAACGATTGAGACCATTCAAAGGAGGTTAATATCTGACTTCCATACATTAGTTAACACCAGTTAATTTGACGAAAAATCCCTTACAACCGCTTTTGAATACCTTTGATACTAGTCCGTCTGGTCCTCGTGCTTTCCCTCGTTTGAGATTGCCTACAGCCTCCTTAACTTTGACTACAGCTGGATGCCCCATTTCATTCCCGATTCGACTGGATAATGGGTAACGGAATGGTAGCTGAAAACTAGTTGAAGTGTTCTTCAAAGTGCTCCATCCACTGTCCCAGTCGTCTGCCCTGCAAATGAATCACAGATCCGTACCTCTCCATCATAGTTCCCCTAATCATTGACCTTTTCGTTTCAGGTTCCTTGGTAAGTCTAAATAACTGTCTACTGTTATCTATCACTGCTTCCTTTTTCATTTCTCTAGTTTTCCACTAACCACTACTGTTCGCAGTCATTGAGCAGACTTTTCGTTAGTTTGCTTATGAGTTTCTTCCGCTCCTCATCATGTTCGGAGCCTATAGTAGTGCATCCAATATTTTTGACTAAGCTGTTGATACCTACTGACTTTTTCTTTCTGTTAGTCAGCTACGGTCTTTAATGCTGTTCTTACAGCAGACTGGAGGTAAAATCAAGCTTCTTGTGGATGAGCGTTCTGTGCTGACAGCTCTTTGGCCAGTTTGTCGCTGAATGTAGCCTTCATATCCTTATCAACCGCATCAACCCTTGTATGAGTTCACAGCCTATGTGAATGAAGTCCTGTTCACTGCCTACACGTGGCGAGGGTGTAACCATAAACGTGAAAGGGTTAAAACGAATGTCTGGCGCTTATCACCGGATTAATGTATACTTAGGATCCACCTAGAGGATTTGGAAAAACCTGATTCCAGGCGAATGATGCACATGGGCTCCAGGTTACAGATAGAAAGAATGGCATATGAACCTATTTCGGTTACTAGCAACCATAGGAATGCAGCTCCTGATGTTGCTCCACTCTCATATGGATTAGACTTTAAATCAAAGGCTCGCGGAGTGGTCCCCCAAGACAACCACTTGCTTCGGTTCGGGCGCCTGGACAGTATCCCAGCCCCCATACAAAATATGAATTTACAGTACGAGATGAAGGTTTCGAAGCAATTAAACAACTTTCCTGCAAATACTCAAGCCCTAGGCACTGCAAACTCTATAACTAACTGTTCAGTTTATTGATATTACATTGCTTTTGTTGTCTTTAAATATGAACTGTATCTTTATTATTACCATTTCCGCTTTTGTCTTTGTCTTCACTTGACTCAGCTGCTTCCCCTCTTACTTAAACTTTTGGTCTGCCTGTACCGTTTTAAGTGACTAAACGGTTTCCCCCATAAAGCTATCCTCCAGTGCAACATATGACACCGTTATCCAGAAACCACACGTACCGTTTAAGCTGGTCACCTTCAACGTGTGCACCTTGATGCAGATCGGACAACAGGTAGGTTTGGTTAGAACCCTGGAAAGCTTCCCTATTGGTGTATGCTGCATCCCAGAGACCCGCATACAAGATCTCAGTGACGTGCTTCGAATTAGTTCTTCGCCTATCAGCTCGAAAAGTAAGTTTCATGTGCGCTTATCCGGGGACTGTAGCACTGACACCTGGCCACGCTGGCGTCGGTGTCACACTGAGCGCTCGAGCCGAGGCTGCACTACTAGACTAGATCCCCATCAACAGTCATCTGTGTGGAGTTGGGCTGGAAGGTTCATCTCGATGTTATCTCCGCCTATGCTCCAACGGACTGCAGTTCCGATACAACCAAGGATGAATTCTATCGTCAACTGAATGACCTGAACCCAGTGTTAGCTGGTGACTTGAATGCCCACGTCGGGGTCTACGCTCAGAAAGAAGTCGTTTAGGTGGCCAGTGACTACTAGTTGGCCGTAGGCCGGATAATGTGGATTGTCTTCTGCAGCTTTGGGCAGATTACAACTTATTTCTAGCCAGCATCAACTTCCGTCACGGCTACCCCTGTTGCGCTGCTTGTCGTCCTCCCTCTGCCACCCAATGGCGAGTAAAGCTGCTTGTGACTTGGAAGAATGTCCCGCTAATAAACACTAAGTCTCTGCAAGTTTCACTTCTAAAATGGATTTGCGACGAAATCACTTAACTTTGTAGAGATAGGTGTTCGCGATCAAGTGTTGAAGCCAGCAGAACACCAGACAATTATCACATCTAATATGAATCATTTTAAAGATTAGTAACGAAACGTGTAAATGTACTAGATGGTAAAAATGCAACTGGAAAATTTACATATGAACATTGTAAATAATGAGAAAATCTTATGAAAAATTATAGTGCAGGTATTTTGTTATGATTTTAACTATGATTGACCAGACCCGCTAAACAAGATCACCGAAATCCTGTACAACTGATCAACATATTCTTGAGTTTCGAAAAAGACAAATGACTAGATGTGTAAGCACATTAGATTGGTTGAAGAGGTAAGATTATCAGATGGAGCCTTTCTGGGGAGGGGGGAGGGGTTGGAAACAGTCAAGACCATCTGTAAATACAAATATGAACTGTTATATTTTGTACATATTTCGACAGTGCAACACACCGGTTGTCTTATTGACTTTTTCTACTTTCCAAGGAAATTAGAGACCAACAAAGTTGTAATCTGAAGGTAATTGTTTCAATATCTACATACAGATAAACAGTTTATATCACATTATATTAATAATAATTTAAAAACAATCACTTGAAAGTTACAACACATACCCTGAGCTAGTTTCAAAAGTTCAACAGCTCTCTCGTGATGTTCACTTTCTACAGAAATTCCATTCACTGACAACAATTGGTCACCACGCTTTAGACCACCATGACGATCAGCGACACCACCAGGAATGATTCGGCTGATGTATATCGGTGAGTTTTGTTCTTTACCACCCATAACGTTGAAGCCTAGACCTTCATCAGTTTTGGGGAGCTCTATAACACGTGGGTGGGCATGTCCTTCACTTGCAGCGAAAGCTGCAACAGTGGCCTTAGCTGTCGCACTTGCCTTAACCTATCAATTAGTGTGCAGAAAAAGGAAGGTGATAAAATATAAACAAAGTGAAAAACTGATAACAAACTAAGGATGATCTATAAACTAAAAACACAAAACAAGATGCTGTAGGATACGACTGAGATAGAAAAAAGATCGAAATGATTTCAGCACATTCGTGCGGTAGACAGTAAGCCACATCTTTTGCATGAGGTCTACCTTGCTGCCCTAACTTCGGTAAGTGGAGCGGTGTTAGAACCCGTGACCCACTGGTTGAAAGTCAACTCCCTAAACCGGTGAGCCACAACAAAGTGGTACCATGCACAGTTTATCAGTCTCAAGTTTCACAACTCTAAGCAACACAAACAAAAACCAATAAAATTATGTATCATATTAGGCGGTAAAGTCGTATATCGAGTAAATGTATTCCTTTTTCAAATTAGAACTAAAACATTTAGAAGTAGAGTTGTAGCCTACTTGTCTACACAGTCAACTTCCAACAAATGAGTCATGAACAGACAAATAGATTAACATAGAACCTGATGCAAAAGTGCACCAATTCAAGTGGCTATACTTCATAGAAGCATTAAAAGGAATACAAAGAAAAAGAATGATATCAAAGTAGACGGAAGTGTATGAGAGAAGAGAGCATTAACGGATAAATGTTAATAAAAATGTCAAGAACTTCAAAACAGAGTGCATGCATCTGCATCCCTGTGACCGTTTTCAAGCCATATGATTTGGAGTCTTTAACAACTGATTTCCACTTTCTTGAACACTAGCCAAGCAACATGTACGGCTGAAAATAACAGTGGTAGATTTTATGAGCTAATACCACGTCTTTGTCTGACCATTTTTAATTTTTCCCGATCCAATCCAATTCTGGTTAACATAACACGTCTAGACAGGTGGTCGCTGAGTATGTGGAACCCATGTCTGAAGAAAACTCAGAGTGGGAAGCCTAACAACTACAAATGACTTCCATCCTTTGCCTAGAACCCTATGCTTAACCTCACCATTGTTCATACAGTGATTTCACCGTAGGGGGTAGATCACTTTGTGCGAATTCATAAGTACCTGAGGTTGTGTCCATTAATACGTTTATAACGAAGTTATAAAAGAAATTGTGACAGACCTTCCTGGTATGGTACAGGCTCAAGGAACTATCATTCTAGCCAGTACAATTCATTGTTGTGACATAGCCAAGTCTGACCAACGCCTCAAGGAAGCAGTCACTACTCAGTTATCAGAATAAAATCACTTTAATTTGTAACTTTACCCGCTCCAATGTAAATCCTAATTCAAGTATAAATAACCTCTTCGACGTTTGCCAGCCTATATCATCTCTGGGGTCTACAAGACATCAAACTACTTGCCAAAGGATGAGTACGCTGCGCAGTTTACCGTCCTATTGTACGGGTGATACATGAGACTGAACCTTAGTCGTTGTTTGTCGTATTTCCCACCTATCGTGGAATTACAGAGCAACGCCAAGGTTATACATAGAGTACTAGGTAATTCGGAACAAAAATATACATCAGCACATAACAGGACTAAACAAATAAGGTAGTAGTAGAAATGCTTCGAAGCACTAGTTGCCATCCCTGAAGAAAACACTGTAAGCGTCCACACAACCACGTGGACAGGTTTCGGAAAAGCAATAGCACTAAGGATTCAATCTTTTTCAAAGATCGATAACACGAATGAGATCTATCTTCACTCATCACAGGGGTGAATACCATAGTCACCAGGTCACAAGGTTTCTTTAACTAAAATTCATGCCAATAAGACAAAAAACCTCGCCTGGTCAACTAGTTCACTAGTTACTAGCCGGTCCTAAGCCCGGGTAAAGATGGAAGGTTGGGCATAGGTCTAGCAACCCCACCCAAGAAAACAAATCTAACCACTAAAGAAACTTCAAAGCACAAACGAAATATAAAAAATAATAACAAAATTATTCCTCACTGGAATCGGAGAGGCGAAATGACGCCAGTTGGTGAAAGCCTGACTTCGGAAGCCAATTGGCCGGGCCGATGTGTCTTCTCTTCTCTCGATGAAAGCGAAGGTAAACGTGGGGACATGGAATGTCCGCACGATGTTTGAACCCAGCTGGGGAGCCCAGATTGCAAACGAGATGAAGAGGTATCACAGTGAAGTGCTTGGAATTTGCGAAGGCAGATGGAATGGGAGTGGACTCTCTAAACTGTCAACTGGAGAATCAATAATCTACTCTGATATTGTCACCCAGACGACAACCACGAGCACACTGAGTTATGGAGTGGCTATCATGATGTCCCCTTGAAGAGCATCGAAGGCTCACTCTCATGCAGTGGGAACCAGTCTCCTCATGCAGGATCATGACAGCAAGATTCAACTCAAAAGGAAGGAAGGAAGGAAGGAAGGTCACAATCATACAATGCTACGCTATGCGCCTACAAATAGTGCAGATGAAGAGAAGAAGGAGGAATTCTACAGACAACTTCAATCAACACTGGACAATACACCATTCCAGTTGGCGATATCAAAATTCTAATGTGTGGGGTGACATGAATGTCAAACTGGGAGCAGACAACACAGGAAGAGAACTAACCATGGGTCGAGAAGCGCTCGGTGAGGTGATGAACGAGAATGGAGAATTGTTTGCAGAATTCTGTGCATTCAACGATTTGGTGATTGGAGGCGAGGCAGTGTGTTCAAGCACAAAGATATCCACAAAGCGATATGGAGTTGATTTCACCAGACACCAGGACACACTACACTGAAAATCAGATCGACTTTATCTCAATCTCAAGAAAATGGAGATGCAGTCTACTTGACACAAGGTCAAGAAGGGGAGCAGATGTAGGTTCACACCACTCACTATCTAGTGCAAGGAACCTTCCAAATCAAGTTGAAAGCCTTCAAGGAAGCTGGTGATAGACCACAGTTCAAGTACAACACTCGGAAACTGAAGGACGAAACTACAGAGGAAATCTTCACGACAGCCAGCCATCAAGACAAAATGGGAGGTATCGAGGAACATCCGTGAAGAAACCTGTGTGGAAGAACACTGGAAGTCTTTGAAAGAGATGTGGAAGTAAACCTGCACAGCCGTATTAGGAAGGAAGAAGAAAGGAGATAAGGAATGGATCTCAATGGATACATGGAAGCTGATAGAGCAGGGAGAGGAGGATGGTGAAGCAGAAGATGAACCAGTGCAAGGATGCTCAACGACAAGAGGAACTGAGCACAATGTATAAAACACTTCACGGGACAAAGAAGTGAAGAAGAGTTCACGCAAAGACAAAAGATACTTCTACGAAACACTGGCAAGTGAAGCAGAACAGGCTGCAGGTAAGTGAGTCTTGACAACATTGTATCAAATAACCAGGTTGTTATCTGGGAGGAGATCAACGCAGACGAAACCAATAAAAGATGATGACGGAAATTGAATTACGAAAGGAGAGAAACAAAGGAAACAATGGGCCGACCACTTCAAGAAGCTCTTGAATCGACCACCACCTGCACTTCGTCCAGAAATACCACCTGCAGTCCAGCCACAGAACTACAAGTGAACATAAATCCTCCAACAAAAGTGGAAGTCCTAAATGCCATAAAGCTACTGAAATGCGGGAACGCAGCAGGACCAGATGGAATACCGCCAGAAACACTGAAAGCAGACGCAGAGACAACAGTGGACATGCTCACACCACACGACTGTTGCAGAAGGTGTGGAAGGAAGAGAAGGTACCTGCTGATCGATTGGAAGAAGGGTTACCTTGTCAAACTCCCGAAGAAGGGAGACCTCAGTGTTTGCAAGAACTGGCACGGAATCACTCTCCTGTCCACCCAATGCAAGCTAAATATTAAGCCGCATCATTCTGGAGAGGCTAAGGGATGCGCTGGATTCAAAACTACGACCAGAACAGTCTGGTTGGATTCAGGAAGTACAAATCATGTGCGCATCAAATTGCAACGCTACGCTTCGCATCATCATAGAACAGAGTATAGAATGGCAGTCAACTCAACTCAACCTCAACTTGATCGACTTTGTGAAGGCGTTTGACAGCGTCGACCGAGAGGTAATTTGGAAACTGCTTCAATACTAGGGAATACCACAAACCTTTATCAGCCTCATTCAACAGCTAGCTATATGAAGATGCCAGATGCCAAGTAATTCACAATGGGAAGCTCAGTGATGCTTTTGCAGTGAAGTGAAGACAGGAGTGAAACAAGGTTGCCTACTATCCCCCATGATATTCCTGATTGTGGTCGACTGGACTGGATCATGTAGCAAACAGTGGGGAGTGAGAAGAGGGGGATACACTGGCTGGACTGCGGAAAAGAAGCTAGAAGATCTGGATTTCGCCTGTGATGACTTGTGTCTGATGTCACACAAACGTGAAGATCTACAGGCGAAAACTAACAAGTTGGCAGAGGAGCCAGGGTAGCGAAGACGGGACTTCAGGTGAATATAGAGAAGACAGAAGTGATGAAGATACCGCACCAACAACTCCAACAACAACAACAAACTCCAATCACCATCAACGGGAGAAACTTAAAGGAAGCAACCTCTTTCACCTATCTAGGAAGCACTGTTTCAACTACAGGTGGCGGCACAGACGAGGGTGTCAAAGTCAGAATCGGAAAAGCAAGACAGGCGTTCATTAGCCTGAAGCCAGTGCCGAGATGTTCTGCACTCAGCATGTGGAACAAGATCCGGATTTTGAACACCAACCCAGTCAAGTCAGTGCTTCTATGTGATGGTTCAGAGACTTGGCGCGTTACGAAAGGGATATCCAATAAACTACAGACATTCATCAACAACTGCTTACGCTCGCTACTGAAGATCAGTGGAGATGGCCAGAAAGAATAAGCAACAAGGAGCTCTGGGAACGAGCCAACCAAGAACCCATCACCCAACAAATATGCACTGGAAGGAAGTGGAGATGGATTGGGCATACACTGAGAAGGCCGACTGGGGACATCACGCGTCAGGCAGGCGCTCGAGTGGAACCCAGATGGGAAGCGACGAGTTGGACGTCCGAGGGTGATATGGAGGAGATCGTGCGAGGAGGAAATGAGAGCTTCTGGAATGTCGTGGAGCCAGGTTCAAAAGATTTCAGAGAACAGAATGGAATGGAGACGCGCTACTGAAGCCCTATGTTCCATTAGGAACCCAAAGGACTAATAATAATAAGACAAAAAAAACACAATGTATTGGTCCTCATTAAACGATGAGGGATACCTCACTACTAATCAGCCTTCTGTATCCCATATGACAACCTTCAGTAAAACATGTACTGTATCAAGTGGGCATATAGAAACTACGAAGACATTTTAGTGGTGTGGAATAACAGTGAAGTAAAGCGGAGATCGTGTGAGGAAGAAATGAAAGCTTCTGGGCAGTCATGAAGCCAGCTTCAAAAGACTGCAGAGAATAGAGCAATGAAGATGTGCTACTGAATTCCATGTTCCACTAGGAAACCAAGGTTAAAAATAAATAGATAAATAAAGCGGTGCTTCTAGGGGGGAGCTACATGTATCCTTAGTGATGAGGAAATTACGCAAAGAACGCAAAAAAACCCACACTGTCACATTTCGGGCTAATGCAACTACCATATTTTTATTGACTTGGAAAATAATGACCGCATCGGGTTCTAAAAATAATTCAACATAGGATTTAGTCGGAAATACTTCAGATCCTTAGGCAAAGCTAGTTTCACTTATAATAACCACTGGAAAAAGTGACGAGCGAACACTTGAATGTTTTGAGATTAAACTTGCCATACTAGCTAACTGAAGTCGAAACGAAATCATAAGCAATTGTCCTGGTGGGCGAGGGGGGATTGTCTTTTCTTTTTCTTAGAGGGACGCATTATGCAATTTCATTCAGGAAAGTTTTGCTCATGGAGGTAACGCAAACGTCTGAATGAAGAGATAGTGTCGTATGTTAGCTTAGGTAGATAACCATTTACTTCGAAGGAGGAACTTAACACAGATACATTATGAAGAAATATGGTCTTCATATGAACGCATAGGTCAAATGCCTAAGTGCGGATATGTTGCGTTAGATCTATCAGTTAAAACTAGGTAACATTACGTAGTTGAGATACATTTTTATAGCTATGCGTAGATGACAATTAACTTTATCAGATACAATGATGATATGACATTACACTTTCGTCCCTGAGGACTCCAACCAAACTTGCTATCTTAACATGGTAGTTGGGCTTGTGTATCACACTGATGAGCTATTTTGGTGGGACACATGTTCTCTTGAGGTCCAACCGTACCACGAAGATCAGCCGGACAGTGATACGACAAAAAGCAGCTACCGCTACTACGCTTCGATAGGAGTCCAGTGGAGAATTCGTACTGTAGATTGGACGAGGGTGGGACAGCGGTTATGTCTCCCAAGTGTGACTGACAGTAATATGCTGAAAAGGTGATGTAACTCCCCTTAACTAGACGTAACTTAAGTTCAGTGATAACGCACCACTATTACTAATCCAATAACCTCTACAGGTACCTTAAGGAGAATAAACCCTAAACGGTTTTGGCAAACACCCTCACAGCTACTCAAGTACCCTCCCATTATTATTAACCCCCTACATTGCCTTCTAATTTTGCTTCCCGTTTTTCAGTCAATGTTCCTACATTACCGCTAATTTTCTCCTACCTGCAGGTTTCGATGACAATTTGCGTCTATAGAAAAGCATTCATGGTCTTTTGAAAACGTGCTCTATATTACATATCTGAGCTTTCGAAGTCTGCACACCCCATCACACAGACTATCAACGTACAACCACGTATACAAGTACGTAGGTTCAAGTTGCCATACTTTACACTAGTATACAAAGACAGGTGGACAGAATAAGTGGCATCAAAGTAGACAAAGTTGTGTGAGAGAATAAATAGTTTGAAGATAACGGTTAGTGCAAATATATAGGCTTTAGAAGACTTCAATGAGTGAATACCTCTACGCTATTGTGACCGACTTCCAGCAATGTCAAGAAGAGTCCTCGACCCCTGATTTCTATTGTCTTGTAGACCCCAGCCAGCTAGTTTACATTTCCCCATACGGCTCAGGCCAACGGTCAAGGACTTCATGGATTGATGCCACGTATTGGTCTGGCCACCCTGAACTTTCTTCCAGACAAACCCAATATCCCCTGGCGTGGTGCTTGGAGGTAAGTGGTGGCTCAACATGCGCAACAGACCTCCAAACCACCTCAGTCGACTGAGGTTCATAACCTCATCAATCGACTTCTCTAGTGCCCTTCGCCAAATGCGAGCAATGCCACGAAGACATCTTGAGTCAAAACCCTGCAACCACTTCACGTCTTTTACTCTTAACGGCCATGTCTCACAGCCGTACAACAATATAGAACGAACTACAGTGCAGTGTACTCGTCGTTTGATATAATCGGGTATCTCGCCAGCTGGAGCCACAGGTGACACAAGTTAGCAAGTGCCAGACGAGGTTTCTGATCCTGGGCGCTGCACAACTGAAGCGTTGCTGACGGATAGTTGCATTATGCTTCTGTGTTCAGCCCAACGTTTTAGCCACTAATAAACACTATGTTTGTAGACTCCAGCTAGGCCTTTGATTATCCTTCTAGTTGGAAATTACTAGAAAAACTCCGCTCTTTTGGGTTTAGTGCTATATTGCAGGCCTGAATAGGAGACTATCTGTACGAGAGAGGGCAAAGTGATGGGTTAGTGGGGTTCTAAGCGGAAACCTGTGATGAGTGGAGTACTTCAAGAAACCATCCCGGGTCCTCTCCTTTTCCTGCTGCGTTGATAAAGGACGGAAACTCCCGTGAACCTACAAACCGATGATACGGAGGTTTAGAGTCATATGGAGAGATACTGATAGATAAACGCTTCAAGTGGACCTCTGTGAACTAGTAGGCTGGTCCAAACGCTGCTTCCCGGAAATTAACTACAGACAATGCGCAACAATGCACGTTGGTCATTGTAGTTTTCAGTAATCCGTTGGTAGTACACTACTATCCCGTCTTGGAAATACGAGACTCGGTGATCACAGGCACTGCAATGTAGTAAAAAAAAAAGCCGTGTTACTCTCTATACACAGCCTTCAAAAGTTTAGATCAAGACATTCTGTTCTACATATATTAGACCTGTCTTAGAATAAGGCATTGAAGGAGTCTCTGCGAAAAAAGGGATGCCGGTATTCAAAGAGTTAGCACAAAGCCTGCGATTCGCCTTTCTAATCTGCACTACGAAGAGTAACTAGATCGGCTGAATTTATTGCTGCAGTCTAATAGCAGAAAAGGGGGGGACATCATACTTCTATTCTGTATCAGCAATAATGACCTCGGAACTGATGTTCCACTTTTTCTCTTGTTAGGATTGGCTTTTTCGTAGCATCACAAGGAAATTTAGAAAACAACTTAGCGTCGACCTGCGTTTCTTTCGAGTGGTCAACGACTGGAACTCGTTTCATTAAGTGGTATCAGCTCCTTTGGTGAACGAGTCTAAGATCTTTATAAAAACACCCTCTGCACGGATTAACACGAAAAACTAGTTAACTTTCTTACAGAATACATAATTTCCATAACGTGTAATACGCCACTCACTTTTACAGAGCAGGCGGTTAGCACAACATTCTCTAGTGCCTAAATTTGGTTAATTAGGCATCCTACGAAAACAAGTCGCTATGCAGTGAATGCCACTAACAAAATAAAGAAAACGAAAACTCACTTCTTCAGATCCATTAATGTCAACAGTTGTGTAAATGTGCTCGTAAACTTCACGTACCATATTACAAAAATCTGACTGTAATATTCGCTGCAAAGCAGCTAGTTTTGAAGGTTGTATTTCAGGACATCTTTGAAGAATTTCCAGCAACTCTAAAACTCTAGTAACATCTGAAAATCATTCAGATCTTCATCCAACAAACCTCTCTGCAAGTTTAAAGTTTCCGCCATCATCAAAAAGCGATACGCTCCTTAATATCCAATATCCTTCAACAAGCTAGTGTAAACAAACTGATTTCTTCGCGCTCGCTTCTAGGTCTTACTGAATGGTTCCAGGTCTTTGGTGGATTCCAATGCAGTAGGTCCACCCACTCGACTGCTGAAGCTCTGGTTAGCCCGATGGGCGGTCGGGTGTTGTTTAGATTTGTAGCGAGTGTTGTTTGCTTGTTTGCTTTTTCTTCCGAGGACTGTGGTGCAGATGGGTTCCTCAAATGTCGCGCCAGCAGACAATTGGTCGGACTGGTTGTAAAAAGGAGATGAAAAATATGTGCAGAGAAAGTGCAGAGAGAGAAAAAATAGAAAAAGAAAAGGAAATAAGGAAGGAGAATACTATATGAAAATAGATTAGGAAGGAGGAAATGGTACGGAAGAATAAAACATCGGTAGGTTCATGGGTAATAGATGATAGGGAGAGCTTTTGGTAAAGTTCGAGAACCTAAAGTCAGAAGTAAGAAGAATAAAGAACACTATAGGATGAATGGGAATATGGTGATTCTTTTAGAAGGAGACGGTAACTGGAAGGGACGTCTACAGGAAGGTATAAGGTTAAGCCAAGTTCTCAGCGATAGTGGTTTTACAAAGTGTTCAGTAACGGTTGGTCGTACCGAGTTAGTAAGTCGTATTAGCCTAGTCCACATCCCAGTTGGATGAGCGTAAACCGTGCGTGGCTGCGTAACTGTCCAACCTCTTCTTGAAGCTGTCAACAGACGGAGCAGTAGCAATCTCGGCAGGCAATGTGTTCCAGTGGCCGCAAACTCGCAGAGAGAAGAAATGGGATTGCACACGCGTTTTCGCTCTTTGGTGAGCTATCCTCCTTCGGTTACCACGAGGATCGCCATAGTGGCCATTTGGCAGGATTCCACTGTTCGGATGACTTGGGTTACTGAGTGTCTTGTAAGCCGTTATCAAGTCACCACGTAGTCTGCGGTAACTTAGGGAGAAGAGCTCCAGATCTTTCAGCCTGTCCTGATGTGGTTTTCGCCTCATTCCCACGACACCCCTTGTAGCTCGTCTTAGGAATTTCTCCAGGAGGTTCACGTCTCTTTTCAGATATGGTGGTGTAATGACGTTGTGCACCTCTAGGTGGGGTCTTATATAGGTCTTATGCGGCCTCAAAAAGAGTTCCGGGGTCAGGGCACCCAACTGTCTGCACATGAAGTGCAGTACTGCGTAGGCTCTGCAGGCATCTCCTGGATAATTGGAGCTAATGTCTGGTTTGTCAGTCAGTATTAGTCCTATGTCTTTCTCTGTGGTAGTGTGAGACAGTTGTGCCCCACAGAGAGAATAGGGTGCTTTCTGAGAGTCTGAGGTGCGGAGAAACATGGCTCGGCATTTATCTAGGTTAAATGCAGGCCCATTAATATCCACCTACTCTGCAAGTAATCTGAGATCACTTTGCAGTGCACTTGATTCTGTTTCTGACGTCACAGCTCTCCATAGCTTAACATCATCAGCGTAAAGTAGAATTGGGGAGCTGAGATTCAGCTGCAGGTTGTTCACAAAAAGAAGGAATAGCAGCAGAAGATGACGTCCTCCAAGTCGACCAGACTCTGTTGGCTTTTGTGCAGAATTGTCTACCGTCTAGATAGTCCTGCGACCATGAAAGCACTTGTCCCTCAATGCCTAACCTTTCTATTTTGTGAATAAGAACAGTGTGTGGAACTGTGTCGAAGGCCTTAGTAAAATCCAGGAAAATAACATGGACAGGAATTTGGAGGTCCCAGCATGCCGTCAACTTATCACCTGCTGCCAGAATGTTTGTGGCACAGGACATCCCCTTTCTGAAACCCAAGATTGAGAGTCGGAGCATTAAGGTCGCCGGCTATGATGGCCTGGTCATATCCGATGGACGTCGCTCGGGACATTACTTGCAGCAGTTGTCGGCTATCTTCCACGCTGCTAGTAGGTGTTCTGTGGACGCCTCCTTCTAGGTGCTTGGTGTGTCCAACCTTAAATTGACACCAGATGGAGTCTGGGAGCCCTGGAAGTAGAGTTTCAGTTGCTCGTTCACTTTTAAGGTCATCACTTGTAAGCATCGCCACTCCGCCTCCTTCCTTAAACTCCCCGTCTCTCCTGAGCAGACGAATACCGCCTATACCAGTTTCAGCGTCGCTAATGTCCGGTGATAACCAAGTTTCTGTCAGGACTATGATCGTTGAAGCAAGCTAGGGACAGAGAAATCATAATTCCCCCATTTTACTCCTGAGTCCCCTCACACTACTATAAAGACACTTGGCTATGTTTCTAACGACATGGGGTATCTTGGTGCTGACAGACCGGAGGGAGTCGTGCGTAGTGGCGAAACTTGCTATAGGACGGTCAGCTCCAGTGGAACCGGCCCGATCACGTTTCTTCCCACAATGGCTTCTGGGGGTTTCATAGGGTCCAGGCTGGATTGTGCATCTTGTCTGTTGACGGTGATGGTGACTTCGGCGGTGGGCGGTGCTGTCATTTGCTGTTGTCGCGGCGTCCTGGGCCTGTTTTCACAACAGCGAACATTCCCACTGATGTTATCTTTTACCGTATACCAAGTTTGCAGTACACTGGTTAAAAGTTCTTGACAGCCGAAGTTAACAGCCATCAACCGGGGTGTTGTCACCGTCGTCAAATGTGAGGAACGTGGCAGTCTGCAGGCCGCCGCCGCTGCTATCCCATTTAACCCCATCCTCGCTGATAATCACTGCCATTGCTGGACGTCGTGAGCATACTTTTCTACGGCTGTGCCGGTTGTCGGTTCCGGTATGCCGTGGACAACCATAGTTGTTGGTTTCAGCGTTTGGGGCGCCTCGCGAGATACCTTCCTTGCTGACCGAGGGCGGTCTGGTCTGGCTCCAATGCTAGATGACCTGTCGATGACCAGTGTGTGTGACATTGGCAAGAATCTTTCCGCTTGTTTAGCCGAGCTTAGGGTAACTCCCGTTGGCGGAGGCTTTCCCTTACGTGGGTAGTTGCCTTTGTAGGGCCTGCACAGCTTTGCTTCTAGGCTACTCAGTCCTAGTGTGGCGCATACGGTTTCCCATTGCTGCTTGTCAAACGATTCTCTGTTCTCAAGGAGACTATCATGGCACACAGGGACGTCAAATAAGATGACGGAGTTCGATCTGTCATCAGCTTCTCTAGTTCCGCCTGCTGTGGGTGGTTTTTTGTGGGAAGGGTGCACCTTCTTTTCCACTACCACCTGTTTTCCCCGTTGCACAGTGGGGTAAGCCTCTAAAGTGGCTTCAGGGTTAGGTACGAATGTAGTTGGTCGCGTACCCGGTCGTCGTTTCGGTCTTTGGTTTCGCTTGGGCCTGGGGTAATAATAATAATATATTTCACGCAACAAAGGTTACATGAATACAAACCAGTTTACAGGTTTGATCACTTTGGTAATGAGAGATGACTATTATGTACAATGTTATGCTATACATTAGATGCTGTGATTTATGGCATATAGGAGGCATGTCGAAGCAGGCTCAGTGGTCTGTGTGGATGCCGGCATCGTAGTAGTCACTGCGATGTCTTTTACGATCTCCATCAGCGAGCCTTTAGGAAGGAGTGGTCTTGTATGGCACTGTGGGCAGATGTGCCAGAACCACGTGCATGGGTAGCGCGCTGTGAAGGTGTAACATTATTCCGGCATGTCCTGATCACACTGACTGAACACCCACTTACTGCAGATGTTACACTCAAAGGCAGCATCCCTCTTGGCCACGGTGAGACCACATGTGTAGCAGCCCGACCAAAAGGTTTAGTTAACGACTTTCTTTTCCTTCTCTTCCGTCTCTCAGTGGTAGCCTTCACAGGTAGGCTAGGGTTTGGGCTGGTGGCACCAGAAAGACATGCTCGTTGATGAACCACAGCAGAAGGGTTCACAGGGGCAGGAATTCGGCTTTTCCTAGGGGTGGTTGTTGCACCTGTCCTCCTAGGGTCGACCCGTGGTCTTTTGCGGCGGCACTAAGCTTTTTGCCTCCGGCCCTCGTTACTACCACTGATGGGAAGGTTTGTGGATGGGGTGAGGCTTTGCCTGAGATGTTCCTGATGCCAGATTTGGTTAGGACTCGATTATTACTCATTTCTAGCGGTGAGTAGGGGGATATAAATGAGATACACAGATGGTTGTATTGAGCGAAACGTAGAAAAGCGGTGATAGATAAAGTAAGTTATCAACCTTACCTAGAATTGCCAAGTTGTACGACACGGAAGAGTGCCCAAAGCTTCCCACAGGTCCAAGGTATATGATCGAATGAGATAAGTCGCGCAGCAGCTGCAGCAACCTGAGCTATAGCAGTTGATAGAGTCAGTTAGACCTACCGCACAGTTGTCCGTTTGGAGAGTGACAGTATTGACTGACTGAGAGCTGTACGTCCTGTAGCAAAACGTTTTCCCAGTGAAACTTTAACTTTCGTAGAAGAAATGTCCGTGTCTTTTTACATGCATTAACTGCAAGTAGTTGCATATCTCACATGTGATTAGTCATTTGAGAATTAAATAGCTTCATGACGACGTTAACAACAGGGTTACGAAACAGTTACGAAATCACGTTAAGATGTAACAATTTCAAACTTTCGGTTAGACCCTGCGGAAGGTTTGGTGCTGGTTTAATCCATAAGAATACACACAATTTTTCCCGAAACTGTGGTGCAGATGGAGTGTTCATATGTCGCATGGCCGAACATTTTTTCAGAGCGGTCTTCAAAACCGACGAAAGAATGAGGAGACTTTGGGTAAGTTTTTGAAACGGCGAGAATTTAGATGAATGAGATCAAGTTGCAAAGAGCAAAAGAGTGGGTGGGGGCAGAGAAAACAATGGAAGAGATGGTGGAATTATCATTAGTACTGATAATGGGATGATAAATGAAGATGTAAGATCCACAATAGAGGCGGTATGATCGATCGCCAAATGAAGTGGGAGACTGGATTTTGTCCTTAATCATATTCGCAGTGAAACGGGATCATCATGAAGCCGACAGTGTCAGGTTGCTGCGACGGCAGTTATTTGTGTGCATCTTACCCACATTCAGACTGATTGAGCACAATCCACATGTCACTATAAGGCTGGCCAACCTTTTCTTGAAAATGCTGGCAGACTGAGTGCTGTCTACTCCATCAGATAGTGTACTCTGTTGTCCAAAGACATGGGGCGGAAAAGCGTGGTAGTATATACAGACAGACTCTCACCACCCTTGCCTGTATGGTAATATTCTTATGCAACCCATGGCTCTCCTATGGTGGTTTCTGAGTACAAAACAAAACGA